TTACTCTCTCATCCCTTGTTTGATCGARTAGTCTGCAGTTCTTAAAACTCCTATACGATTCCTTGGTAAAATCATGCTCAGCTAAGGCAACAGTCGCTGTCAAACTGTATGTGTCTGACTGTGCTTTGTAGCCAATCTTGCAGGCAATAATTCACATCACCCACGACCTTTCTTCCTTCAGCTGACTACTCAAGGAGTGTKGAAGCAGTCTTTAAAATGAAGCTTATCTTACATAACTGTCCTCTCTTGCTAAAATCTAAGAAAGTAGAGGAGTATTGTTATGTAAGTGGAAATACTTTTGGATGCACTTCTGAAACTCTGTTGAATAGAGATACAGGCATTTCCTGAATAGTAATTTTTTTAAATGTTAAAGTGTAACTTGGTTTTGTTTTTGTTACAACCTGTTACTGTTTGCCTGCTCAGGAATAATATGCAAACAATGTAGCAGGAGCAAAAGCAGGAGGGCAGTGTCCATGAAACTGCTGTTGAGAAAATCCACAGCAAAAGTCTGACCTAAGACCCTGGACGTTTAGATACATTCGTTCATACATACGTTCATATGTATGATGTGGGTGGTTATACACTGTACAAAGTATGGACTAGTTCAGGGACTATAAGGCAGATATCAACCGTATTTGCTATATTACTTTGAGTTTCACTTTAAAGTGCCCTTTCCATAACTTTGGCAGCCTGCTTGCTAGAAGCTACATGACAGAAATCAGTTGTTGTCGTTACCTCAAGCTTTGACATAAGTCATACTCTCAAATGGTTCAGTGACGCCAGAACTTCACTCCATGCTACTGTTTAAAGCTGTCAAAGAAAAAAGATGCAATTATGTCAAGACAAAGATGTAATGGAAAAAAATATGGACAATGTGTAAAGGAAAGCCTGTTTAAATGATGCACACTCTATTTTCAGTTCTCTCCCTACAAGTACACTTATTCGCATCCTCCGGCTGCAAGACCCTGAAAGAGGCCAGACAACTCTGAAATTCCCAAATAGGAGTCAAGAGGAGGAAGATCAATAAGTATATCTGTGTATGAATGTAACAGTTTTGAGGATTGTTACTGTATAAATGTGTAATGATGTATACAAGCTGATTAATTCCTGTTGCTGGATAGGAGGACCTTTTGTTAAATACCTTCAAGAAAGAAAAGGTTCTTGTATTTTTTACAACTACTGTATGTGTTTGTACAGACCAAGGATTTAAGCAGTGTGTAAATTTAATACACAGTTTTGATTATGAAAATATCCTAAATGTTCAACTGATTGATATTTTTAACTACCAATTATTAGATCTCTTAATTGTTCTGTTTTTTCCAGAAAATGAAATATATTTTGTATAACTTTGAAGTATTATTTTAATAAACTCTGAGAACTGACACTTGTATTGATGCTTTAGTGTCTCTACACACTTAAAGATTGGTCCTAAGATAAGATAATTTTATCTTCCTAACTCTTGCTTTATTTGTTCAACATATGCTAATTAATACATGCAGTAAATGCATTTTCATTTTTGCTGTGGAACCACAGCTGTTGAACATAATTTATTACTTACAGTGTATATTTTTGTTATTAGAAGAGAGAAGATTCATTTGCAGTATATTCTCTGGGTAGGGAAAAAATGTCTTCCTTTCTAAAGAGTTTATACCGAAGAATTTGAAAGGTTTTGGACATGAGCTTACAAGAAAACAGAAAATTTTGCTTTTTAAAAAAGAAATAATAATAATTGGTTTAATTGAAGTTAGTAATCTAAGTTCTTACACTTGGATGTGCAGGTATAGGCTAGATCTGTAGATATTCATCCTATTAAAACAAACTAAAGGGACAAAGCCCTTACTGAAGTAAGGATGTTCAATATAAAGGAATGAAGTAGAATAGATTTTTGAGAAATTACATGGTAAGCTTTTTACAGCATTGAAGGCTTTCTCTTTCTGATCTGAGACTAACCTGCAGAAAAAGCAGTTAAGTGACCTTTATTAAAAAATGCAATCATTTATCGGGATTGGAAGGAGAAAGAAAAAGTAGAACCTGCCCATTGTTCCATATTAACTTTTTTCTTTCCTGTTCTTCTCCCTCCAGGAACTTGAAATTGTTGGGAGCTCTTCAAAAACTATCAATTGAAAGTTATGCYATTAGACATCCATTTCTTGACATTACAGGGGCACAAGAACAAATAAGACTTTTTCAGAGAGCAGTTCTGCAATTTCTACAGTTATTTATCAGATAGCAATCCCTKAATAAAATTTCTTTACAGTTCAAATTTTAAATTGACAGCTCTTTTCGTCTTTTTTTTTTTTTTTTAAGCCACTATATGTATTAATTTTGTTTAGCTTCTACCCAGGCATCTATTAAGCTTATAGATGTTTCTAAGATACAGAAGTTAGTGAAAAGTTGAAAGAAGTTTTTTAACTGCAGTGTGTGGCAGGTGAACAAGAGTCAACAGCCACAAACTGAAGTGGGGAGGTTCAGAATGGATAAAGGTGAGGGAGGCAGAGGAGTTCACGATGAAGGCTGTAGGTACTAGAACAGGTTGCCCGGAAGTTGTAGAATCTCTGTCCTTGGAGGTTTCAGGGTCTGAATTTAGGGTTGTTCCTGCTTTGAGCAGAAAATGGAACTAGAGGTCTCTGGAAATCCCAGCCAAACTAAGTGATCGTATAATCCTGTCACTTTCTGAAGTRTATACTGGAGAAACTTGCAACTTTTTTAGGGTTGTGTGAAATATTGGGAGCAGGGGAAGAACATCCAATCTGCAAACTTGGCAAAACTTTTCTGAATTGCAAATTTTGATTCATCWTATTTTTCTTGGTCCTATTACATTATCTTCAAGCACATTTTAATTTTGGCTAAATACTTTGATGAGCATCCATTTCAGAACATCTTACAATATAAATTTATTGAATCGCCAAGTATTTGTTCCTCCTAATTTTGTTCATTATCTGAGAAAATAAAGCAAGAGTGCAGGGGAGAGAAGTGTTTATCTTCATTGCTACTTCTATAGATAGTTGTGTGGAGAAAAGAGTTTAAGGAAAAATACTGCTTTCCAATGAACCATAGCAGTTCAGCTTTCTCCTCAGCTTTCTACAGACTGCTGTAAAAAAATCTTTCATGGAATATTGGAGCAGTTAATGGTGCTTCTTCTGACCTTTCGTTCAAACCCTATGATGTATTTATTCTAATTTATCACTGTACTTAATGACAATGTGTGCCTGACTGTGATTATTATAAGCAACTGCTTTCATGGTAGGGGATTACTTCTGAATAAACAATTATTAAAACAGTTGCTTGGATACACTTCTTTTTGCAGTGATTCTGTTAGGGTCTCAAAGCTGTCTTGTTCTTGGTGCTTTAGATAGGGAGCTTGTTTATACCAGGTACCTCGACAGAAACAGTTGGCATCGTGATGTTACGCTAGGGACCACTTGAGCTGTTGGACACATGGGATGGCAACAGATGCTTAATGTTCCACTAAAATAAATAGAGCCTATCCATAAACATACATACATTGAGGTGTAGGGAAACGTAAAAAGATGCACTGCTTTTCTAATACTCGTGTATTGTGAAAGGGGCATAAAATCCCAGGATTATCCAATACCCTGACTACAACTAGGACTTTAAGCCTGAATTGAAACTATAGTCATTTCTGCACCTAAAGCATAGCTATGCAGAAATCCCTTGCTTTTTCAGAATATGTCTTTAATTTACAACTGAATATTCTCAATTAGCAAAGTGCTRTACTTAAGAATTGTACCTGTCCAGTCTAAATAAAATTTTGGTAAAAAGAAAGATTGAAACCTTTTTTTCTTTCCCTCTCCCCACAACTACTATGCTGAAGATATAAAGTAAGAATTAAGAAGGAAAGCTATGTGTTATAAACTGGTATTTTTTAAAAAAAAAAAAAATCTTGCCTAACCCCCTTTTGGAGGTGTCTGACAGAACATGTAAAACCCCTTCACTTTTAGATTGGAGAATATGGAGAATGACCTGTCTCTCTGGCTGGTGGAACTCCCTGGTTTCTTCATAAGGCAGATAAAAAATATCAGCATGCAATATTCTAGGACTTTTTGTTTTGTAATCCTGCTTGCAAAGGACTTTGTTTAAAACAATTGGGAAACCTGCTAGAGGAAGTATTTTTATCTGCGCTCTTTGCCATCTGTTGCTTCCAAAGGTTTTCCCAAGGTTTTCCCAGAACTTCTACTTGCCAGTGAATAGAGCAGAACTCGATGGATGTGCTGCAGCGTGGAGGAGGAGAAGGATGAGGAAGGTGGGTCTCTCAAATTTCTGTTCTCAGTACTCATAGTTTAGGATTAATTTCTCTTTCAATAATGTCTTTGTACAAGCTATCTCTTCATAGTAAAATGTGRTAGTTTAATATCATATAGTGGGAGAAAAGGCTTTCACTTAATGAGGGAAAAGCATTAAAAGATTGGGCTTAGGCCAAGCAAATAAATTGCATTTGACCTACAACTACCTTTAAAAGTTATGTAAGCACAGGTATAGCAGGTATACTGTTAAACCTTAGCATCAACATTGTTGAGGATAAGCAGCTGCTCTGTTGCCAAACATAAGTAGTATAACATTTGATTTTATATTTCTGACTTTATAATGAGTGAATGCAAAGAAGTTTCCTTATGCTTTCATAGAAAATACATTTTTTCCCAATAGTGAAATGTTGTAAGAGATTTTTTTCCCTTGCTTCCTTTTTCCCATTCCCTCTTCCCCTCTCCCCCTCCCACCATTGCCCTGAAGACATGAAATAAGAATTAGGGGAAAAGGTCAAATATTATAAATTTATTTTGGGACATATATATTGCAACCTCTGTGGAAGCTTTTGAAAATTCAGGCAAAGATCAATACACTTTCAATAAAACCTTTAAACTTCCAATAAAACAATATTTTGAACATTATATATATATTTATATATACTTTTCATTAAAGGGAGCATTTTAGCGGGATTTGTTTATACTGCATTCCTCTGACATAGCTCTTTCCAGATTGAAGGGATGCAAATGAGGTAAGAATTAAGGCAAACCTAAAAGGCATGCAAATGAAGTACATTTATCTCCACTGACAATACAAGCACATGTGTGGATCAGACTAAAGCACTGAGGGCCGCTTCCCCTCTGTCCAGTACTACTTTACAGCAGAATGGTGACATGGCTCATAATAAACAGTTAACATTACCGTGGGAATTCAGTGTCACTAACATTACTCAGTCTAGARGACACAGAGCTAGCATCAGTAAAACATGAACAATAAATAATATAATTCACGGCAGCACAGGACTGCTGCACAGGCTTCAGAGGAATGGGGTGGCTATGAAATGACATTGCACACGTCACATTGTGGCAGTTTGTTTTTTTATAATATATACTTTTAAAATTCTTTAGCAAATGACATTCTCATGCACACAAGTGTTTCAAACACAAGAAGCAAGTCCATTTATAGGTAGGTAGTCCAAGCAAATTCGTGTGTGTGTGTGTGTGTGTGTGTGTCTGTGTCTGTGTGTGTGTGGAAATAGCTGCAAACCGAATGGAACATTTAAACTTCTGTGCAGTCTATGATGCCTTGGACGCAAGCTCATTTCTGAATGTCACACTGCAGCAGTAATACGATGGAAGGATCGCTCTTTGCAGCCTCTTTGAATTCATCCAGTGTGATCTGGTCGTCTTTGTTCTTATCCATCTTGCTGAAAATCTTGTCTACCCGCTGCTCGGGTGTCAGGCCATCCTCGTTCATTTTCATCATTATTACGGTGCCCACCATTTTGTAGATGGCCTTGAGAGAGAAGCCAAACAGAAGATTATGAAAGTTAGCTCTCATAYTTAATCACTGTATTGATGTGATCAAATGCTGGGATTGAGTTTCAACAGTCAAGTGAGTGTCAGTTTCCCTATGGATTTTTTTCTTTTGGAATCCCATATCTGCTTACTTAAAGCAAGGAGGAATAAGGGTTTCACTTTTTTTTCCCTTCAAATACAGGCTTTTTAAAACGGTTGTGCTTTGCACATAGGAATGAATTTCTATTGTAATCTGTTCTTTAGATCAAGTGTTTACTTAGATTTAAGTCACCCCATTGAAAGATTTTACATAAATTCTGAATAATCAGCTTTAAAAGGCATCTCTTTTCAGAAGCTTTCTGTGCGCACATGTGGACAAAATCTGGTATTAACCACTGGGGCCAGTATCCAACAGATGACTGAAGCAAACTTTATTCTTTGACTGTACTGGGGCAATCTTAAATCTTAGTGCCCATCTGCACGAGCTCACTTAAAACGCAAGTGGGTTGTTTGTCACTGTAAATTTCTGCAATCATCTGAAGTTAATCTCCAATAAGGCTGCATGCAGCTTGAGCTACAAAACAGTAATTTCACGGGTGGCAAATGATTTTCAGATGGGCTGTGTAAATCCTTTGCTGTACTGTTCTTACGGTTAATCTGTTCATCAGGAAACATTTACCCCTTGATATTTAAAAGCTTATAGGGGCACGTGATCTTTGCAATTCTCAGATTACATATCTGTTGCAAGGGTGTTTGCTTGTAGTGCTTAGGCAAGAGTCACTGAGATGAGTCTCTGTGTTGCAATTGTTTAATGATAAATAAATGATGTGCAYACAGCCTCTTGTGTGTTTAAAGGCTTTACGTGTACGTGAACAAGCAGTCAACTTATTTTTTTCCTACAGAAACAGTAATACGTGTTGGTTTGTGCGTCATATTGACCTCACCTCTATAATTTCCAGCATTTCCACTCTTGTAATTTTACCATCGCCATCCAGGTCGTACATGTTGAAGGCCCAGTTTAGTTTTTGCTCAAAACTGCCTCTTGAGGTGATGGAGAGTGCACAAATGAACTCTCTGAAGTCGATGGTTCCGTCTCCGTTCTTGTCGAAGGTTCGGAAGGCGTGCTGGGCAAACTTGGAGGCATCCCCGTAGGGAAAGAACTGCAAGGCAAAACAAGACACGGTGCCGAGGGCAGCGCAAGGAAGCAAGCTGGGCACCTGCCTGAAGGGAGGCTGTGGTCCATGAAAACTGAAAACACACCTTTTAATAAATTCAACAATCGAAACGTAGAACTCTATTAAACGTTATTTCCATTAAAATGTCTCATTTTACAGCAAGCACTGTTATAGATATATTTCATGCTAAAAGTATGTTCTCTGCAAAACTAGTTGAAGAAGATGAACCTTAAAATAAAGGTAGATACAAATGAGAGATTCTACCTAACGGCAGTGGAACATAAGAACAATAAATATAGTATAGAACATGAAGTTACATTTCATGTTTTCASAGCAACTTTCAGAGGAAATTTGTTTTACTGAAAAAAGCTTTTATGTTCCAGCTGAAAATTCAATTGGGTGGTATAAATTCAATCCCATCATTAGATTATGACATTTTAAGAGACGAGCAAAGCTCCCCCCAGCTTAAGCATCATCCTGGGCTTGCTTTTGCACTCCCTTYCATGGCCTTTCATTTCTTTGAAACAAGTAATTTCTGACACACGACAAACTGGGATGATCAAACTCTGCTCAGTGCTCAAAACGCTGCTTGGGGTAGTACAGAGCCCTGAAGAAAATGCAAAGGGGCTACAGCCTAACTTGGGATCTTTCGGTCTCCTTTGCCCTCCATTTTGAGCTACTTTGAAGGGGATGTCTGAAAAGAGAAACTCATGCAGAGGAACAGTTAAATTTACAACTGTTTTTATGTGCTGCCTTCTATTCTCCATCAAACACAGCAACAGAGGTAAATTTTAAGAGATTTTTTTTTCCTTAATTGATGCAGCCAAATGGCTGTGTGGGCTTTGTGTTATATAACTATTTATTAAAAGAAAAAAAAAAACCCTCATACCATGAAAAATCAGGAACATATGTTCTCTTTTGCCAATGTACAAAATACAAGTGCATAAGATGAAAGCTAAGATTCAACCAAAGAACACAGGTTTGTGCTGTTTGTGCTTAATATTATCAGAGAAAATTGCAATTGATTGCATCATAATAAAATATTTTAAATGCTGCTAATGTGTAGTAGGTATTTTTTCCCTCTCTCCTCTAGAAATGGTAGTTGTTTTTATGTGGCCCAGATTCAAGGAAACACATTTCTAAAAAAGGGAGTTTTAATGCTGAAATTCCATTAGAGTAAAGAATATAAAAAATGTAATTCATAACTATGTATCTATATTTCCATCACAATTTAATGGAGATTTTTATGCTCATAAAATATAAATATGCACTACTGCCAGTTTGAGTGCCATCCTTTCTTTTTCCTGCGTCTTGTTAAATACTGTGTTTAATAACACACAAATACGAAGCAAACACTTAAGCAGCAGCCTAAGAAATGTGTCTCCTTTTTGCACTTYCCTGTTGCCCAGTTCTGAGCTTTAACAACAGTCTCTTTCCTGCTGTGGTAAACTCTGCAAGCAGTTCAACGAGTTCCTGAAAGATTTCATAAAGGCTATTACAGCCCATACAGAAAAGGGCAGTGCTAGGAGACTGATCAAGCACAGATGCAAAACGTGGCAAGTCAGGGATCTGCCATCTCTGCTTTTCCTTTTTGAGGAGGCCAAATGGCCTCTTGGATACTGTGCTGCCTGAAAAAAGTGCACAACAACTTGCAACAAATTCATGGCCAAAAAAAGTCATAGCCACAAACACGATTTCAGAGGCCACTAAACTCCTCCTCTAAACTGCTTCTTTGCAGTGACTTTTCAGACACAATTCTGAGTGACTCTTATGTTGCTGTTCATGCGTAATTGTAGATATATAATCATCATCRTCATCATCGTCATCATCGTCATCATCATCATCATCTTTTCCCTGGTTCAGAAAAAAATCTAGCTGCTATGAAATCTTCCTCTTCCCCTTCAGAAGTGAGCAACCATGATTAAATTTGGTCCACCTTCATCATTTCAGAGTAGTGCCCTGGTGTGGACTAACCCTCCAGAGGATTACTAATCTCCGTATTATCACTGCTCTGTAGAATCCCAAACCAGAAGGGGATCAGATACACTCCTTTCACTTCCAACTATCTTTTCAGGAAGACATAAATCATGGTCAAGAGAGATATATACCCCTTTCAAGGGTATTTCACAATTAAAGTTGCACTCTCTTTTTCTGGGTCAGCATACAACCTCTAGTTCTGCACTCTTTCTGCAATAGCTGAAGAGTCCTTTAGAATCATCCCCTTCAGAAAATGTACTTTATGTGACTGTGCACAAGTCAACCTACATTTCTTTTTTGATAATTTGAACTGATAGAGCTGTAAGTACCTCCAGGTACTGATGCGGCTCTTCTCTGTACTTTTCACTTCTTGACCTTTTAAAATTTTTGGATTCTGTAATATGGGCTCACAAGCATACGCAAAGATACATGGATTCTCCTCCCACAGAATTACAGCTACCAGCTGCAGCTACCAGACCTCACTAAGTTGCTTTTCTGGTGAAAATCTTAGTCTTTTGTAAWACCATAGAAGGAGAATCTCTTAGGTCTTACAATTCAACATTTGATTGTATTAGAACAAAAGAATTTGAATGATATTCAAACTTTGAACACTATTTGAAGGCTATCAAAATCCTGCTCACTGCTTTCTCCTCTTTATMTACATTACCCCTCCAACTATTGTATCAACTGCAGATGTCAGCACAGATGTTGTTTAATTTTGTATGTGGATATATAGATATATACTCTTCTCCACATCATTGAGGCAAAGTTCACTGTCACTTTGCAGCCTCTACAAATAAAAGTAAAACAGCTAGTTATCGAGATCACATCAAAATGTGATCTTCCTTTTTGCTACCTAGATAATAAAAACTTATTTAGATGTTATTTTTCTGTGATTCAGACTGTGAACTCRTATAAATACAGTAAGGGAACCAAAGAATGAAAATACCAGGAAACTGTTCACCTACAAAAATGACCAGGAAGTTGCAATCATGCAGAAATACCCAAGAGCTTGAGAACCAAAGGAAGTTTCAGGAGGAATCAGGGCCTGGAGGTACCAAAGACCATTTTAAAATTATTCTTGGGTAAGTAGGTATCATTACCAAGCAAGCAGTGTCTCYCTCCCGTAACAACCTTATGGCAGTAACCTCACATAATACATGGAAGAAAAATACTCTCCTCATTTTTCATCATATACAAGCCAACATTTTTTTGTTTGTTTGTTTCCTTTTGAGCTGAGAAAGGCAATATCACTTTTCAGAGGTGAACTCTGGTATTAGCAGCYTGCTCAAGTGAATGAATGGAACTGATGTCTTTTTCATTATTATTTTTTCCATTTGCCTTCCTCTGGGGAACAAATACAGTAAAAAGCCCTTCAGGGACTGAAGGTACTCTTCCCTAGAGGATGCTCTTTTCTGGTCTGTGCCTCGCAATTCCTATTATTTTTATCTCAGGACAACTATAACAAAAAAGGAAAACATTGTCAAAACTTGTTTAAAAAGCTATTTGAAAGCTTCCATTGTCTGGTTCTAAAATGATTCATAAATAAGAAATGGAGTAAAAATAAAACTAATTACAGAGCAGAAGAGGCCAGCTCTGGTAAAACATTATTTTATGATTAAAATATAGGAAGGCATGAAGGCCTGTTTTCCATAAAGGCACTGACTGTTTCCTGCTTCAAAACTAGTCTCAGCCAAGTGAAAACAGAAGATAGTGATCACTGGAAGACAGAAACACCCGTTTGGGTGTTTTCCATCATTATGGAATACGATAGTGGTTTAACCAAACTCGTCTGCTGCTCTGGCATGGGCTGAGTGGCTGCTTCAAAACCAAGCACAGAAGCTGGGCAATTCCGCACGTTCTTCAGCCTCCTCTGGAAACCATAACCCAGGTGCTCAACTTACTTACATACTAAAGCAACCAGGTCCCTTCTGTGCGATGGCACCACTGAAAGCGCATGCTTGCTGTACACATCTGCACTGGATCCTGCATTTCCTCTCTTGTCAAAGCAATCAAAGCAAACTATACCTGTCTGGGCTTTTTTATAGATACTTGCAATCCACGAGTGCAGACCAAACACGGCCCATTTACTTGTTTCTGCCTGTCTACTCTCATCTCTTTCCTAGGCTGTGCTTTTTCTCACTAGCTAGATTAAGAAGTCACTTAGCAGACAAATTACTGGTGTGTGAAGGAAGGAGGTGTCATCTCTACATGTATCTGGCAACTAGAGAAGGATTAAGGGGAAAGAATATCCTCCTTATTATGTTAAGAAAAGCTGGGGAAAAAGAAGTCTTGAAGGGTCCTGCCACCTGGAATGCTTCTTGAAGCTCTTTCTGTCTATCCTGGGCTTTTTCAAAGTTAATGGAATAAGACTATTAAGTAAATAGCTTCAACAAGATGTGCATAATTTAAAACTTAGGGAACAGATCAAACATCTGGAGTGCTTAGCTGCAGAGATGTAAGGCTTCTGCTACCTTTGAAGAGGTATTGGTCATGGACAACTTTATATCACTACTTAGATCACCTGCGGGAGAAGGTTGTTAAAAAGCCCACATAAACCTGAAGACTAAAGCAATACACACACAAAGTATCACTCCAAATTCTCCAGGAACAGCAGTCCAAAAATAAATGGTCTCTCTTTGAGACTTGGCGGAGAAGYGGAGAGGCCTCCATTCCTCAGGCCCTACAGAGAGGCCTGAAGGACGTTCTATTAATCAGGGATCATTTTAAGAAGTCTGAGATACTTCTATACTAAAAGGGGATCTCTCTTATAAGATGGAGAAAATTACATTATTATGCAGAAATCTGAACACTGCCTATATCTACCCAGGTGGCCCTTTGGTCACACTGATTAGAGGTAAAGCTGCCTGCATGGAGTTGGAGGTTATTTATGGATATTGTCCTAGGCTTGAAGAAGACAGAAAAAGCCTTCCTAAATAGAGAAAATTTACCTTCCTAAATAGAGAAAATTTGTACTTTAAGAATCAGAAAATCTGGCTTCTGGAAGAAGATGAGGGCAAGTTTTTTTTTTTTTTTTTTTTTTGTAAAAATTTCAAATTTGAACCCAGCCATTGCAGCGCTAGTCAAATCCCATTGTACCAACAATGAGAAGTCTTCTGAAGCGCAATTTGTCACCAGCTACAGTAGCAGCTCTGTGCAGATTTCTGTGGAGGGATGCAATTGCAGAGTTCAGGTTTATCATTAGCTCCATATGTCAGTGTTACCATTTAAAGCTCAATCACATGAACACTCTCCCACTCTACAGAGCCATAGCTTTAATTCTGTTTGAAATGACAATGTATGAATGCTATGGATATTTCCAGCATGAGATGAAGCTCCAGCAGTATTTTGGTCCCTGAAGGGGATGTTTGTAATGATTCCAGAGCTGGTGGCTGCGCTTCATGAGGACAAAGCCCTGGGTTCCTGCCAGCTCTTTCAGGTGTGAAYACAGAGACCGTGAAACAAGAAAGATTACTTTTTAATTCCTTCCTCTGGAGAAAAAAAAATGTAACAACAGATCTGTACTCTTCTGTTTCATGCATTAAGGCAGGATACCTGGAAGAAATTTGTGAGCTCAGATTGGTCCCATCCTTAGGGAAGGTCATGCCAGTTGTGCCTCCAGGGTGGACAGGGGTGGTGCAGCCTCTGAGTGCCAGCATCTTTCTGTGTAAAACTGAAAACTAATTTAACAAGAGCATAACCAGAGAAGCAGAAGAA